GAATTTTGTTCTACGTTTTTCTCCCGCTCTGTCCAGAACCCTCTTTTGTAATCCCCGTCAGAGAGTCAGAGCGGTCGGTGGTGGTAGCTGGGCACCATCTAGTTCTTCTGGGCTCAGGCTGGTGGAGGCCGTGGTTCATATGGCCCCATTAGTCCTTTGGACTGATCTCTTCCTTATTTCTTTGGTTTTCTACATTCTCCTTTCCTCTGGACAGGCTGGGACCAATAGATGTATCTCAGATGGCTGTTCACAAGCTTTTAAGACCCTAGATGCTACTCACCGAAGTAGAATGTGGAACATTTTCTTTCTGAGCTGTGTTATGCCAGTTGACCTAGGTGTTCCCCGAGACCATGGTCCTCAGCCCTCAGCTTCAGTAACTCAGTCCCTGAAGGTGTTTGGATGCGTCTAGGAAGCCTCTATGACTGCCTTGGTCAAGCTGTGCTGACTTCCCCTGTATTGTGTGCTGTCTTTCCCTTCACCAAAGCTAACACGTGTCTACTGTCTAGTTAGTGATTTCCCCTTCCCACTCCTTCCCTCTTGTAACCGTCAAAGATTGTTTTTTGGTGCATGTAAACCTTTTCTTAAGTTTTTATAATAGTGGTTTCATACAATATTTATCCTTCTGTGATTGGCTTATTTCACTCAGCATACCGCCCTCCAGATTCATCCACGTTTAAGAAGTTTTGTGGATTCATCATTGTTCTTTATCGCTTCGTAGTATTCCATTGCCAAGGTATTGATTTATAGCAATCATTCACATGTATAGAACCCCACTATTTCATTTTATCCTCACAGTTACCTCAACGGCAAACAGAGAAAGTATGATCAATCCCATTTTACAGAGAGAGAAATGGAGTCTCAGATTGCAGAGGTAGAAAAATGCAGAACCAACATTGCCTTCCAATCAGTTGCTTTGTAAGAGAAGGGTACTGCACTGTTGTGCTAGTAATTACGATGGCTTGCTAAACGTCCTCCATAGAATTCAATGGTGGCCAGAATCCCATTTTAATTGACTTACAGTTGTTGTGGTCGCATGCCATCGGGTCTATTCCAATTCATAGCGACCCTATAGCACAGAGTAGAACTGTTCATAGGGTTTCCTAGGTGTAATCTTTATGGGATCACCAGGTCTGTTCTCCTGCAGAGCCACTGGTGGGTTTGAACCTTTTGGTTAGCAGCCGAGCACGTAACCATCACATCACCAGGGCTCCGACTTACAGTTAGCATCCGTAAATGTTGCCAATTGGTCTAGTTTATTAAAAAAGACCTAAAACTGTACTAAAAAAAAGCTGGTTAAATTCTAAAAGGAGTTTGTTCATTGGCATCATACACGTGTTGTAATGGTTAAAATACGCTCTTCAGAATTTTCTGATTGATGGAACGAGACCTGCACATCACATGGCTTGCCCTCCTCCGGCCGCCATTTTCCTGGCCAGCGAGTGATGTTCATTCCAACACCTGAGCCTCACAGCCTCTCAAGCAATTCCCATGGGTAAGCCTCCCATCAGCGCCATCCCATAGCAGTCTGCTGAAAATTACACTCCTTTCTAATTTGTCCGTATTTTTGACTTGTACACATTGGTTTATATTGGTTTGTCTCTGGGATTCCATCTCATATCTGTTTCTATCAAAGTTTTCTGTGTTCTTCTTAGAGGATCTCTTTTATGGAATTTTCATGTCCCCCATGGCAGAGGCAACCAGTTTCTCCTCTCAGCCTTTCAGATGCGTGCTCTGCCTCGTGTGATAATTACTGGGAGATTTACATTTGCCACTGTCTAGATTTTAGGCTGAATCTCTGAGTGGCACAAGTAGTTAAGGGCTCAACTGCTAGCTGAAAGGTTGGTGGTCTGAACCCACCGAGCGGTGCCTTGGAAGACAGGCCTGGCAATCTGCTTCCAGAAGGTCACGGCCTTGAAAGCCCTATGGAGCAGCTCTGCTCTGACATGCTTGGGGTCTCCATGAGTCGGGATCAAATCCATGACAGCTAGCAACCTCAAGATTTTAAGCCCCACTCCTATAGGGTCACTATGAGTCAGAATCAGCTCCACGGCAGCGGGTTTTTTTTTGGGGTGGGGGTGCGGTGCATTTAGTACAGGGCTGGGGTTTTAGCTGTCTTTGAATGCCCACCCTCCTGGAGTCTGGTCAAATACCCTACAAGGGGAGATCCCTTCACAGTTCTTCAGTAAGTTCAGTTCAATCTGGATCTGCCTCTTGAGCTAACTTAGAAAGTTGAGGCTTTATCCTTAGAGTGTGAGAAAAGAGGTAAAGACAGCAACAGTGCCTAAAGCAGGCAGTCCTGAATGAAGTAAGGTGTTTTAAAAACGTACATACAGACTGGCTTAAATTGCTTCCGTCAAATGAATCAGTGAATGAATGAAGGAGTAAAAGAAATGGCAGCTCTCTTTGGGAGAAAATACCCTGGTGTCAAATTGTGTTTTAGCGTTTAAGCTGCAGGTTTGCAAGTGCTCCAGAATCATTTCCACATCTGCACCGTGGATTTCAGTTCTCTATTTGACTGAACAGGAGTGGGGAAACCTTGGCTGAAATCGGATCCGCTTCAGGCTGTAAAATGGAGGAATCGCTGACCAAAGCAGGCTTGTGTTCGTGACACTTCTGTACCTGCCCAGTTATTCCAGAATTACTCCCTGTCTGCAGCCCCCATCAGGCCTGACCTGGCGGAGCCTGCACCCCACTTTCTTCTTCTCCCCCGTGGGTGACCTCGTCTGCCGACCCAGCAAGAACGCTTGGAAGCTGGCCTCACTTTTCAGGGGTGTGCTGTTTGGAAAGGTCCTGCTTTTGTGGCTCTTACAGCTGTGGATGTATCTATTTCAGAGGTTGTTTTTTCTCAGTGCTATCCTGCACTGTCATCTTCTCAGTGAAAAATAGGCTGCAATTAATTATTATGGTGGGAAAATTCATCCACATGAAGATTTTGAGAATATTTCCAATTTGTTTCTTAAATATTTGATCTTGTTCCAGCTTTTCCTTCTGGGTCAAACCCATGTGTCCATTAAGAAAAACACAGAGCGTGTGTTGGATGTATTTGTTGCTGTAGCTGCCGAGTCAGCCGCGACTCATGGCAGCCCCGTGCACAGTGCGATGAAGTGCTGCCTGGTCCTGTGCCACCCCATGATCAGGTGTCAGTTGGCCCACTGAGATCCATAGGGTTTTCACTGGCTGACTTTTGGAAGTAGATTGCCAGGCCTTTCTTCCTGGTCTGTCTCAGTCTGGAAGCTCTGCTGAAACTGGTCCAGCATCACAGCAGTACTCGAGCCTCTACTGACAGACGGGGGGTGACTGTGCACGAGGGGCACTGGCCGGGCACTGAACCACCACTGTCCTCATATGAGGCCTCAGAAAAAGCAAACCCGCTGCCATCGAGCCAATTCTGACTCACAACGGCCCTACAGGACAGAGAAGAACTGCCCCACAGGGTTTCCAAGGAGCATCTGGTGGATTTGAACTGCCTGCTTTTTGGTTAGCAGTGAAATGCTTAAACCGGTGTAATTTTTAATCCATGATCGAGTCATTGTCCCCAAAATGCCACTTTGTGAGTCTCCTGTAGCTTCTTTACACAGTGTCCGCTTGCACCCATGCAAACAGACCTCTGGGAAAATAGAAGAAATGGAAAACCCTTGTAACTGTCAGGTGTTTTTTTTTAACCAAAGTCCCTCAAGCTCTCATTGATTTCTTTTGAAATACGGCAAAGTGCCTTTTATCCTGAACTAGTCGGAAGACCTTAACCAAGTTTCTTTGGTAAATAGTGGGCGCTTTAGAATGAGGAGCTCCTCTTTTCTCTACTAGGCTCGGTTTATAAGAGCACCAACTTAGTGAAAGCCTGATTTTCCCCCATGAACTGACTGTCTCCTTCTGGATTGTAATTACTATTAAACGGGGGCGGGGGGCCTGTGCATAAAGGGCGTGTTGTCTTGTTTCTGAGGAAGAACGTGTCCATTGCTGGTACTCCACCATCAAATTATCAAGAATTGCAGTTAAATTCCGAACACCTGAACACTAGGGTTTTTTTCCCCTTCTTTTTTAAAGAAAAGATGTAGAACCTATCTCTTTCTATTTAGAGAAAATGATAATTACAATGTCTTACCCTAAGGGTTTACCTCACTTAGGGTTTCAGGGAATGCAAATAGATCCCTGCTTATGCATAAAAAGTAACAGATTTAGGTTATTCCATCTTTTCGTCTAAAATAGAAGAGAGCTATGTTACAGCATGGAGTCTCTGGCTGGTTAGCATGTACAGCTGCTAACCAAAGGGTTGGCGGTTCAAGTCCACCCAAAGGCACCTTGGAAGAAAGGCCTGGCGATCTACTTCTGAAACATCGGCCACTGAAAATCCTGTGGAGCACAGTTCTACTCTGACCTACGTGGGGTCACCATGAGTTGGAGTCAACTGGACAGCAGCTGGTCTGTGATAGGGCGTGCTCCTGCTTGAAGCGAGGGGTCCCGTGACTTCCCCTGAACATTCTGTATGTTCAGGTTGAATTCCTGGTGGGTGTTTCCCCCCCTTCCTCCTGTGCCTTGCTAAACTGCTCTGATTCAGCCCTGTGTTATGAGAACAAGTCTATCGGAATTCTCACGGGCTTGCAATGAGAGCAAGGCAGCAATGTGAAAAATTCTGTCAAACTGAAGCACCATTTCAGCGGGCGGATGGCCTTCCACAGGTTCCGTCCCTTCTGAGGTGCGATGCCCCAGAGGGTCCTCGTGACTCATGCTGTGAATGTTTCCTGGAGGATGCACAGTTTGGGCCCCTCTCTGCCGTGAGAGCATAAAAATGGATATCAGGAGAAGTAAAAAATGAGAGTTGAAACCCATCAGTGGCCGAAGTGACATGGCGTGTATTTATGCACTTGCTGTGCCCATTTTTAAGTAAAAGCACAGTTTTGCAAAAGCCCGAAAAGGTAACAATCTAATTTTCATTGGCATCGTGGCTAAAATATGCCGGTATCATTATAGCAGGTGAAGTTAGTCTCAGGAAAATTTGGAGCATGGAGCTTGAAATTGGGAAAATTAGAAAAATGAATACCGCTTTTGTCCTGGAGGTTCTGCTGCCGGACAAGCAGGCCCAGTCGCCTGCTGGGTGTGAGCCATGCGCCCCTTGGCTCCGACCTTTGTCCAGAGACCTGGGCATGGCAGTGCTGAGTGGTGTTGACGGCCTCAGTGTTACTATCTACACCTTGCTGACCACAGCCTACTCGCTGCCCCCCGTTCCAGGACTCCAGGAGCTGGGGGACCCTGAGCCCCACCGGGGTCCTTGTTGGTGATGTGGCTCTGCAGCGGTGGTGCTCCTTTTGTGGCTTTTATTCCAGCTTCAGCTTCTGGTCGTTCTTTAAACAGAGCAGCAGGGACACTCAAAGCTTCAGGCAGAGTTTCGGTTGTTAAGAAACTGAGCGTCCTGAGCTCCAGAGGACCTTTGTTCTGTGGTTCCGGAACAGGGGGTGGGGGTCCCTGAGCATCCTGAGCTCCAGAGGACCTGTGTTCTGTGGTGCTGGAACAGGGGGTGGGGGTCCCTGAGCAGCCTGAGCTCCAGAGTACCTTCGTTCTGTGGTGCCAGAGCAGTGGGTGGGGGTCCCTGAGCATCCTGAGCTCCAGAGGACCTTTGTTCTGTGGTGCTGGAACAGTGGGTGGGGGTCCCTCAGCTTCTTGAGCTCCAGAGTACCTTTGCTCTTTGGTGTCAGAACAGTGGGTGAGGGTCCCTGAGCATCCTGAGCTCCAGAGTACCTTTCTTCTGTGGTGGCGGAACAGGGGGTGGGGGTCTCTCAGCATCCTGAGCTCCAGAGTACCTGTGTTCTGTGGTGCCGGAACAGTGGGTGGGGGTCCCTGGATGTTTGCTAAACCCCATTCCTGCTTTTCCTTCAGCTCAGACTGGAAGAGGTCTCAGGGCATCTGATCTGAGCTCTCTCCATCCCTGTGAAAAATGTTGGGATAAACAGGGCTTGTGTGTGGACCCCCTCTGTGTTGTGTGTATTTGAACAGGTTTATTTTGCATATATTATTTAAGAATAACTAGAGCGCCAGGATTTCTTTTTTAATCAATTACTAAAAACAGAAGAAAAAACAGTTGTCATTGAGCTCCTGGATGGTGCAAACAGTTAAGTGCTCGACTGCTAACCAAAAGGTTGGCAGCCCAAGTCTACCCAGAGTTGCCTTGGAAGAAAGGCCTGGTGATCTACTTCGGAAATATCGGTCACTGAAAACCCTGTGGAGCACGGTTCTACTCTGACACACACGGGGCTGCCATGAGTCAATGAATTATTCTTATTGTTAGTTGCCATAGAGTCAGCTCTGACTCATGGCGACCCCAAGTGTGCAGAGTAGGACTGCTCCATAGAGTTTTCATGGCTGTGACCTTTCAGAAGCAGATTGCCAGGCCTTTCTTCCGAGATGCCTCTAGGTGGGCTTGAACAACCAACCTTTTGGCTAGTAGTCGAGTGCTTAACTGTTTGTACCACCCAGGGACTCCAATGAATTACTAACGCTCCAAACATCAGAGAAACACATTTGTGGGGCAGGTGACACTCCAGTGGCCAAAGGCTTATCACAGTTCTGTTTGTCCTCATCCTAATTCTATAGTGCAAGCCCTTCATAAGTGTTATTCTGAGGTTCACCTTCCTGTTGTTTTGTCCATCATGACATAGGGCTAGACAAGACTGTGGTCTGGGACAGGCCATGTTGGGGTTGGAAGGTCAGTGTGTGGGCAGGAAACAATCAGTAATCCAGGTTGTTGGGACAAGCAGGGTCAGAACCAACTCTACTGGTGGCACTGTCAGCCCCGAGGCTGTGTGTCAGTGACATAAAGTAGCAAAGGCAAGGACTGGTAACCCAGCAGCAGTCAGCGTAACTGGAATCTCCATGTGCAAAATGGCCACTAGGGCAGTGACCCAGATGGATTCCTTTAGGGAGTGGCTCTCTTGCTTGTAACCATGTCTGAGAATCCTGGATGCCCAGTGTGGCCAAAGTGCCATCTCTTTATGCTGTAGTGTGCTGGGTGTGCTGCACCTTGAGGCATTTTCATAGAAATCAGCAAGCCTCTTCCTGAGCATAAACCCATTCATTTACTCAACCAACACTTGTTCAAAACACGATGATTGAGTTCGAACAAGTATACATGGATGGATTCTTAGAATGTAGATGGAGTTGCGGAGCTCTGGTGGCACGGTGGTTAAGAGCTTGGCTGCTAACCGAAAGGAGGGTGGTTGGAATCCACCAGCCACTCCTTGGAAACCCTGGGGGGCAGCTCTACTCTGTCCTATCGGGTCGCTATAAGTCAGAATCACCTCAAAGGCAATGGGTCAGATGGAGTTGTAGGAGCCTTTTAAATTAGGAAAGATCTCATCTGATTCCAGACAAACAGTGGGCATTCCTGACCCTTGTCACTTCCAAAATGGTGGTACACCACGCTGAATGTTGAAGTAAATTAGCAAATGAACGACAAATGAAAAGAAAAACACTGCTGTTCAGCCCATTAAAGACGAAACAGAATATGTGAGTGTTCCATGCCAGAGATAAACTGTTTCATGTGCCAAGTTGTCTATTGTATTAAAAGATTCCACCACCAAACATTGACAGAGAATTATCGAGGCTTTTGAAACATGATGGGCTGGCTGATGGCTTAGTGTTTTCTAAGAGATTCATGTGTTTCTGGCGGTGATAATACTGAATACTGTCATCCTTGATTTTTATTCCCTGCCCACTTAGTGACCTTTAGATAACCTCCTATTTTTGGCTGCCCTAGAGAGTATCTCTTTAAATTTGTCTTTTTTTGTTGTTGTTGTTCCCTCAAGTTTTTGAGAGTTGACCAAGATAAGGACAAGGATTGCAGCTTGGATTGTGTGGGATCTCCTCAAAAACCTCTCTGTGCCTCTGACGGAAGGACCTTCTTGTCCCGCTGTGAGTTCCAACGTGCCAAATGCAAAGACCCCCAGTTAGAGATCGCTTATCGAGGAAACTGCAAGGGTAAGTCGCTCTCCGATTATCCATTCAAAGATTGGTAGATCATCACTAAAATGAATGTCTATGTATTTTATTTTTATCTTTGCCAGCTTATTCTGTATTTAAAAACCAAGAGGTGTATATTTGTCAATTTTTTCAGAGTGCATAGGAAGTAATTTCTATGAATTCCAAGAGCACAATCATTTTTTCTTGTTTACTGTTTTATTAGAAGGTGTGATGCCATTGTGAAACAAATTTACCCAAGTATCTCACAGATTTTTTTTCCCCAAAGTCTTCTGAAATTATTCTCATCAACGTTAAGCTCCTGGCTCTTTCAACTCTTTCTTGCTTTTCTTTGTAGCAAATGGCACGTATACAACACCACCTGGCAGGTTCGGTGATTTTATTGGTGCTGATTTTACACTTGTAATTTTTTTGCTTTCCTGATTTAAAAATCAGATTTAGAACTAACTAGCAGGCTTACAGCAAAACGTTGAAATGCTTCCTGTGTTAATGAAGGGTTTGATTCTCAGCAAAATATGCTGATGTTTCAAATTCAAATAGAGTGCTTTTCAGAAAGAGATTAGTTTTCTTTTTTTATTATCTAGGAAGAAAGACCACACAGGCTAAAAGCTCCTTTGAGATGATTTTCTGCACTGTCTACTTACTAGCTCCAACAATCAACTTAAATAAAACAAAATAACCACCACCACACCAAAAACTAGAAGGAACACATTGTCCCAGCCCTGTACTTAACCAGGCTTTGAATCAATTTGCTCTGCCTTTGATGATACAATATAAAGCTAGGTGAGTGGATTTGAGTCCCTTCTTCAGGCGAGCTATGATGCTAGATCAGTGGATTTGAGTTACTTCTTAAGATGAGAAAGTCAGAATGTTGCCGCTTTCTTTAGACCTAGGAGTTCTTCCTGTCGCTATCATGAAGAACGCTCTCTCCAGAGAGATTTAGCCCTCTGGGTCTGAGGAACAGCACGGCACTCTCTCTGGAGTCTCGGGCTTTGCTCATCGAGGGACCATTTCCCTATTCATTATTTGTGCGCAGCATCTGTGGGCACCAAGATTCGGAGCACAGACTTCTTGGTGTGTTCTTGTTGCTTTGCGCATAACTGACAGCTACACATCGTCAAGATTTTTTTCTGCCATCTTGGTTTGTTCAGATCAAAAGAACGTTAAGACACTGGTTGTTGTTAGCTGCCATTGAGTAAGCTCGGACTCACGGTGACCCTGTGTGCAACAGAACTAAATGTTACCCAGTCCTACACCATCTTCACAGTCATTGGTATGCTGGAGTCCACTGTTGCGGCCACTGTGTATTTTGAGTGGCTTCTGCTCATCTTCCAGTATTATATCGGATAATACTCTGTTGTGATCTGTAGGGTTTTTATTGGCTGATTTTTGGAAGTAGATCTCCAGATGTTTCTTCCTAGTCTGTCTTAGTCTGGAAGCTCCACTGAAACTTGTCCACTATGGTGGTCCTGCTGGTATTTGAAATACTGGTGGCATAGCTTCCAGCATCACAGCAACGTGCAAGCTCCCAGTGTGACACAGTGACAGATGAGTGGTGGTTAGTTCTCTTAGGGTTTCCAATAAGAGTACCTGCAACCATTATTCTATGTGCTAGGGGACAGGAGGGCACGGTGCTGCAGGCTTTCAAGAGTGCTTGTCTTACTTTGTGGTCACAGTGCTGTCTCTTATCTGTTACCCAAACTGATGGAGTTGCCACTCATCCTATGCAGAGGGGGTCATGAAGAGACACAGCAGAAGCCCAACAGAGATCCCAGGACAGGGGGCTGGGAGGGGGCGAAAGAAGTCAGTGGAGCAGAGTGTGGAGAGCTGGACTATCAGATTTTGATCTTTGTGCTTATTTCGTGGGAAGTGGAAAGCCACAGGGAGTTAGAGGCAGAAGAAGGGAGGACGTGAATTGTTGCTTTGCTTTGAGAACTCCTGACCCAAGTTTCACCAGGCTGCCCCACCCCTCCGTATTCCTGGCCTTGGACCGGGACGTGCCCATGCTACAAGTCAACTGATACAATTGTTGTCATTGTTCTTTGCCATGGAGTTGATTCCAACTCATGTCAACCCCATGTGTGTCAGAAGAGAATTGCTCCACAGGGTTTTTAAGGCTGTGGCCTTTCAGTAGCTGATTGCCAGGCCTTTCTTCTGAGGCACCTTTGGGTGGGTTCAAACCACCGACCTTTCTGCTAGTAGTAAAATGCTTACCTGTCTGTGCCACCCAGGGACTCCACTGATACAATTACCTACCAGCATTGGCGTGTTTGGACCCTGGCATGTTCCAGAAAGGGTATACAAAATGAAGGCGCCAGCTACATTCAGATGAAAATATATTTTTAGTTCATTCAGTTGCCTCTCAATAGACTACTGGGCACACAAGGGAAAAAGTGCAATGAGAAAGTTACTTTATTCATGTTTTAAATAAATACACTGCAGTGGTAGTCCCACATCGGGATCCAAAAACGTGAAGTCAAAGGTGGAAAAGTGACCTCACTGGGCTCGGTGTGGTAGACCTACCCAGAGTGGGGCCTGTGGACCGGCAGCGTCAGGGTCACCTGGAGCTGCTGAGAGGACCATCCTCAGGACTTGCCCCATACCCACCAATCAGCACCCCAGTCCTGGGGACCTGCCCCAGAAGCACCAGTCAGAAAAGTCCCACTGCTCAGAGCCCCAGTCCTCAGGACCCACCCGAGACCCCCAGTCAGAGCCCCAGTCCTCGGGACCCACACCAGACCCCTGGTCAGCACCCCAGACCTTGGGACCCATCCCAGGCCCCCAGTCAGCACCTCAGTCCTCGGGACCCACCCCAGACCCCCAGTCAGTGCACCTGTCCTTGGGACCCACCCCAGAACCCCAGTCCTCAGGACCCACCCAAGACACCCGGTCAGAGCCCTAGTGCTCGGGACCCACCCCAGACCACCAGTCAGCGCCCCAGAATGATGAGCTGAGGAATCTGTGCTTTCCTATGCTGCTCTCCTGGTGCGTGCTGAGAGCATGTCGTATGACATGAGGGGCCACAGCCCCACTGACAAGTGACTGGTCAGTGATTATGGTGACAAATGGCTGGTCAGTGATTATGGTGACATGGACTGACTCTCCAGACACCTGAGTACCAGGGAGGCCATTCCATTGGGAAGAGTCTCTCCTAACTCTTGGAGATTAGGAGACGAATTAACAAGAAAGAACTGTCATTTTTGTTGTAAAAAGCTGATGTAATTCACAAATTAAATTTTGCTTTAGTAGGGAAAGGTAGTTTAAAAAATTTAAAACACAGAAGTGAAATATCTTTCTATAGAAAATTCCCAAAAAAGTAAAGGGAAATGTAATTCAAATCAGCTGCATTTGAAGTTGTTTCATTGAATTATATGTTTGTACATACTGTCTAAGGAGCCCTGGGGGTGCAATGGTTACAACACACAGCTGCTAACCAAAGGCTGATGGTTCAAACCCAGCAGCCACTCCACTGGATAAAGATGTGGCAGTCTGCTTCCATGAAGATTACAGCTTTGGAAACTGTGAGGTCGCTATGAGTCAGAATCAACTGGACAGGGTTTAGGGATTGGGTATAGACTATCTAGGAGTTCCTGGGTTAAGCGCTCAACTCCTGGCCAAAAGGTTGGAGGTTCAAGCCCACCCAGAGGTGCCTGGGAAGATGTTGTTAGGTGCCATCCAGTCTGTTCCGACTCATAACGACCCTAAGTACAACAGAACGAAACACTGCCCGGTCCTGTGCCATTCTCACAATTGCTGTTATGCTTAAGATTATCATTGCAGCCACTTTGTCAATCCATCTCCTTGAGGTTCTTCTTCTTTTTCACTGGCCCTCTACTTTACCAAGCATGATGCCCTTCTCCAGGGACTGATCGATCCCTCCTGACAAAGTATGTGAGACGAAGTCTCACCACCCTTCCTTCTAAGGAGCATTCAGGTCATACTTCTTCCAAGATAGATTTGTTCCTTCTTTTGACAGTCCATGGTATAGCCAATATTCTTCACCAACAGCACAATTCAAAGGTGTCAATTTTTCTTTGGTCTTCCTTATTCATCGTCCAGCTTTCACATGCATAGGAGGCGATTGAAAACATCACGGCTTGGGTCAGGCACACCTTAGTCTTCAAGGTGACATCTTTGCTTTTCAACACTTTAAAGAGGTCTTTTGCAGTAGATTTGCCCAATGCAATGCGTCTTTTGATTTCTTAACTGCTGCTTCCATGGGTGTTGATTGTGGGTCCAAGTAAGGTGAAATCCTTGACAACTTCAATCTTCTCTCCATTTATCATGATGTTGCTTATTGGTCCAGTTGTGAGGATTTTGTTTTGTTTATGTTGAGGTGTAATCCACATTGAAGGCTGTGGTCTTTGATCTTCATCGGTAAGTGCTTCAAGTCCTCTTCACTTTCAGCAAGCAAGGTTGTGTCATCTGCATAACACAGGTTGGTAATTAATCTTCCTCCAATCCTGATGCCAAGTTCTTCTTCATATAGTCCAGCTTCTTGATTATTTTCTCAGCATACAGACTAAACAGGTATGGTGAAAAGATACAACCCTGACGAACACCTTTCCTGACTTTAAACCACACAGTATCCCCTTGTTCTGTTTGAAAAACTGCCTATTAATCTATGTACAGGTTCCCTATGAGCACAATTAAATGTTCTGGTATTCCCATTCTTCGCAATTTTATCCATAATCTGTTATGATCCACACAGGAGAAAGCCTTTGCATAGTCAATAAAACACAGGTAGACATCTTTCTGGTATTCTCTGCTTTCAGCCAGGATCCATCTGACATTAGCAATGATATCCCTCTTTCCACGTCCTCTTCTGAATCCACCTTGAATTTCTGGCAGTTCCCTGTCGATGTACGGCTGCAGACGCTTTTGAAAGACCTTCAGCAAAATTTTACTTGTGTGTGTTATTAATGATATTGTTCGATAATTTCCACATTCAGTTGGATCACCTTTCTTTGGAATGCGCATAAATGTGGATCTCTTCCAGT